TAGTTTAAAGCCAGCAAGCCCATTTACCTGACACTGGAGTTCAAGGGACTATAGCCTGATACATACTTTAAGTCAGAGTGTATAGTAATTATTTCACGTCACACCAACTACAAATCCAAAAGACTTCTATCAGTTTTCGAAGTAAAGTTAAAATTTAAGTTTTGTTACTTTAGTGTTAGCAACACAAGATACAATACATAGCTACATTATATGGCTAGGACGATGAGGTTTTGAGTAAATCGAAAACTAAATGTATACTGCTGTGGCTGCAAAATAGACAGAACAGCAGCAAGCTGGTATGAGCTGTATGTGGGGATGGAACCTAGAAGAGGAGAGAGCCCTACATTTTTTTTTGGCTCAGTTTTCTTCTCTTGCCTCACTCACATATGGAAAGACAAGCAAGAATACTTTCTAAAGTAGTTTCTTTAGAAGTTTTAAATTTCTTGCTATTGATACTTACCCAAGAGTTTTAATGTTCAGCTCTTATTCAAATTTCATCATGCCAAATAATGAGAATCTATTGCTAGTTCCTCCCATGGCAACTCACTGTACAACTAACCTGGCTTTCATAGTAGTTAAGCCTTCTTTTGAAACCAGCTGAACTTCTTGGAGTCAATGTCATGCCCATTCCCTATTTAAACAGTGTTTAGTTTATCAGATAGGAATAGCAGATTTACTGTCTTTCATTATGGTCAGCAATCCATATAATTAAATTGACTAATTAGTAATTAAGTGCAATCACACCACTTTTTTCAGCTCAAAGAGTCTACTTATTGTATGTTGCTGGTGTAAATTGCGTATTAAATCTATCTAGACACTGACACACCTAAACATCCCTAGAGAAATATGTTTACAATTACTCGTTTCTAGTATCTTATGATGTAAAGCACCATTTGAAAAAACCCAAAAATAGTATTGTAAAAACCCCACAAAGGACATAGTAAGATTTCTAATCTTGGAAGCACAACAAGGGGAGGTACTCCTCTAGCAACCCACTGAGGCAGGCACTTTAATTTCTTTCAAGTGTTAAGCATGTGCTTAATATGCTTTTCAGAATAGGGATATATTTAAGCAGATGTTCCATTACAAAAACATTAATATTCAGATTAAGATCAATAGACTATCAATTTGCTTTTAAAATCATGAACATTCTCAGAAATATTTTTGGTGGGAACAACCCCCTCAAACTGTGAATACCGATAAACGCATGCATGTATATGCAAGTCTCAGTTAAATGTAGTCTGTAAAATCCTAGGTCCACTAATATCCATGTTTATTTTAATCTGCTGCTCTTTTCAGTCACATGTTTTTTTAAAGTTACATCCTAAGAAAACAGTACTGAGTTTTCACATTTAGTATCCACATAGAAGGAAAGAGCTAAATTTATTACAGCAACTGAGAGCAGTTCCAAGAACTTACTGTTGCCAAATCTACTGCATTTATGGGGTTTTCCATTTTATAAGTTAACATATGTAGTAAATACTTGAAAGTTTGATCTACACTAGGAAAAAAAAATCAGGTATGTAATTCCTCCCTATTAGAGCTTCACTGTGGCAGGGATGATGGAAGCGATAAGCAGTGTAACTACCCCTTATAAAGGTGGTAAAAATACTAAGAACAAGTTTATGCATAAATTTTGCTAAGATTAATACAGTTGAAATGGCATGTGTGCAAGTAACTTTTAAAAAACATTAGTATTTTAATCAACATATATATTATCTGTGAATCAAACCTTTAGCACAATTAACAGTCAGAGAAAACTCTAAAGCTGGGTCCAATTCACTGGGAAAAATACAAACCTTTTCTGAAGGGAGCTAAATAAAGGTGAAGGATGTTTAAATATATTGATATACAGAGATGTATATTTAATGGATTCTAAAGAGATTCTAAAGTAATATTGGCTTGTTTCAAACAAGGTTCTGGATAAGATGTAACATTTTAATCAATGTCCTGTACGTTCTACAGTACTATTGGAGATATGACTTAGAAATACTGAAACAGTTCACCATTAGCTTTCTTTTCTCCAAGTGTTAGCATTATTACTTTTTTCTCCACAAAGCAGATCATATACATTTCAAATGATGGCTCCAAATTAATGTCCTTATTTTGCAGAAATACCAGTGATCAAACCAAAGGCTTACTGCTATTCAACTGCAATTCTTCCCTACTTTTTAAGCTTCATACTCCCCTATCAATTTATAATCACATACCAGCTGTTTCACTTGCTGTAATACACAATGCAGGGTGCCATCTATTGAAAAATGAATACACAGACTAACTAGTAAAAGAACAAGTTGGAGAGGGAATATAGGAAAAGAGGATAGTAACAAGCAATGGAGTGAATGCTTCACAGCTCCACAGGAATTCTACCAGTGATAAAATAAATGGTTTAATTTGTTTAACTCAGTCACAACGTTAACTGAGGACCCAATGAAAAATAAAGCACAATAAAAATGGTGATTAGTAAGTTGGTATAGAATTGAGATCTCCCACATTACAAACAGATATTTAAAATACATTTTGAAAAATCAGGCTTATAGTTTAAAATACAAAGATGAGGAACAGCAAATTTTCCATGCTTTAAACTTTTCATCCACAACTGGTTTGCAATAGAAAATTAAACTAGATTTTAGGAGAAGCAAACATCAAAGCTATCAGGTCCTACAAATGCTTTCCAAATGCTAGTTTTGCATGTCATGGAGTGGCCAAATTGAGAGGTAAAGCTCTACCACTGCATGTACCTTGACATTAGCAAAAAACACAAAACCACATCAATGTAAATAGTAAAAAATATGCCAAATCCACCCTCACAGAATTCCTAAATGTCACTATTTGCTTACTCTTGAAAAGCTGTCCTCTCACAAGGTGTGAGAAAAGCCACAGAAAAGTAAAAAAATCAGTCTATAATGGTCCATAATAGTTTTGCTAGCAATTTCAGTTGAGATAGGATGCTACACTAAAGAAGCAAAGTATTCAGAGATGCGACTGTCAGAATCTGCTGAAACGTTTTTCTGCGTTACAGCAACTGGGCCTTGCTTTCAGAAGCTCCCATTCAAGTAGCTATAACTGAAATTCAAGCCCAAAATACCCACATAAACCTAAAATAAAGTATTTTAGTGAACTTCCCTTCATTTGAAAAAAACCAAATATGCTTTCCTCCTTGACTGCTTAAACTATGAAGAAAAAATCTTACGTTTTCTTAGAGGGGAGGAATAGGGTGCTGTTTATACCTCAGATTGAGATAAAAAGTAGATAATTTTTCCACAGTGAATATTTATCAGTTCAGCTTTTTAATTAGTCCATTTTTCATATTCTCTGCTGTAGACTAAAAACAATTAAAACAATTATGTGCCCTATTCAAGTGAGATCAAGGGTAGAAAGAAAGCAATCTAGGGGGCAACTTACAATTAATGACAGCTCTGAAATAGATATAGAAGTAATTAATATATATGAACTGAAATCTGTGCAAGCATATCCAGTGCGCACATCTGCTTAAATTCCTGCCCTTTCACTGGAAAAGTGCCCTGTACACATACTTCAGTATCAGGAAGAAGAACTGACAAGAGATACTGTCTTAAAAAAAAGACTGATGAGGTATAGAATATATTAATCCTGTCTTAAAGATCAAAGTGGCTGTCTGAATCATTACCATTTTTTGAAATGTACAGTATTTATAGAAAGATACCTGATGAGGACCTCTGACGGTTGTCCCAGAAGCCTCTAAAGATGAAAAAATTACTTCAGGTACACCCTGGTTTGTGCACTTAGGTACAAATGTGAAACCAGTGTCTGTTGTTTTTAAACATGTTTTGTCACGGGTATTTTCTATGGGCATGTTTGCATGATTTGGGGGGTTTGTTTTGTCAACAGTAGTTAAGCTTTGTAAAGCTGAGGTCATGAGATCAACTCCATGAGCTTCAAATGAGTTAGGTTCCAATTTACTGAGGTTAACAGCACGGTCTCTGTGCTCCAGGTTAAAATGATGATCTTGAAGCATGTTTTCAGCTATACCGGTACAAGGAACTGTTGGTTTTTCCTGAGTGCTCTGCAAGAAAGCAGAGTCATTGTCTGTAGGTGGAAACTTGACATTAAATTTAGAAAGTGATTCTACAGAGTTGTTGTCCTCATGTTGGCCCACTCCTCTTGGTGTGATAGATGTGATGCATGATGCACCTCTATTTATATCCTTTATAACCCGAGGCTTAAAAAGCTCTTCTGCTTGTTCATCAGTTTTATCAGTACACTGTATCGGCATGGAAAACTGTATTTCTGTGAAGAAAAAATGAAGAAAACATTAAATAGTCCACTGAAGTATAGTTATTAAAGGTGTGCTGTTGGGGTGTTTTTCCTGAGAGGTTTTTGATCTTCCTTCTTGGCTCTTTAACCTTTATTTTTTCTCTGAAATTAGTTTGAGGCATAGTTCTCTTTCACAAACATTAACTCTGACACAAAAACTATCAGAACAGAAATAAAAGGAAATAATTCCGTTCTAATAATTCCATTTCTCTTTGATTTATGGCTATAAACATTTTCATTTTATCGAAAATTATGTTGTCCCATACTCTTAACACATACTTGCATATATTTACTGAAGTGTTCTGGCAAAAATAGAAGCTGGAACCAAACCCATTTCCACGGTGCCAAGAACATGCTAGGCACCATAAGCACGATTTTAGAAGGTATTCAGGTACCAAACTCCCATTGGTTTCCAAATTAGGTAAATATTTAAAGAGAATAACTATTCAGAAGTGGGACCATATTTTCCCTTTGTTTTTAGAATTCCCCCTTCATTTTTGGCACCTTATTAACAAAAGCGGTAATAATATACATAGTTACTCCAGATCAGGTTAGAGAGTAACTTCAGTACACATTTATTGCACAACAGCCTTCTGACATCACTCAGATACTGTAGTAAAGTGGGCCACAGAAGTAACAGAAATCAAGCAGATTAAATCTGTATCATGTATAGCTTTTCACACAGTTGAATTAGGCACTTATTCAAGGAAAACAAATCCTGAAATAAGTTGCCAAGCACTCACCCCCCAAAATTCCTACCCCCAAATAATAAAGTTTAGTAGTGTACAATCAGAATATTACAATACAGTTCAGACATAGCAATTTGAAGCCAGAAGCTACACATTAGCACTTCATGTAACAAAACTTCAGTAATGGTATAACCTAAATTAGAAGCAAGTGCTGAAATCAGCGTCTTTGCTTCAACCATGTTAAGTTTGGCAGGTGTTTTTTGAACTCACTTAAGAGTCTGATCCTACTATTAAGAAAAGCTAGTAGGGAATACCCATAGTAACTTACATTATATTAAATGTAAGCATTAGCAGAACTGAACAGTCAGGATCTCTTCCAGTTGCAACAAAAATCAATACTTTCTTTTGTTTTCAGGAAGTGTTGGACTAAGCTCTTGTCCCATATAACAAAGCAGTATTCAAAAGTCTGCGCAAGGAAGTCTAGAAAATAAGTCCTCTGACTCTCCTCAGTCCGGCAGTTTTCCTCTAACAGATATGGGGCTACAGACATTCATAACAGACATCTTTTGAACTGACAGCTAAATTAAAAGCAAGCAAGTGCTGTCATTCACACAGTATGATGGGATATCACATGTAGTAAGTGCCTGCCTCTTACTCCAAGGGACAAAACAATTACAAGAGCCATTGATGTGATGACTGTCTTTTATAGCATGTGATTTGGAGCATTCGTCATAGAATGCCAAAACTGGCGGTGCGTTTTCTTGGTGAAATACTGAGCACCATGTGAACAGACTTGAAAAAGGCAGATGGTAAACAGTGGAAGTACTTCTATGTATGTGTAATTTACAGTATTTTCAAATATAAAGCAAAGCTTTCAAACAGTTGAATCACAATAAGAGCTTAAGTATGATATTACCAGTTTCAGGTTCTGGCTTTATCTTAAATTTACTCAGTCGGTCTGTTTGTTCTCTGGCTAGCATACGTATTCGATGACACTCTTCTTTCATGTCCTGGAAAATAGTCTCCAGATTCTCCCTGGAAGATCAAAATTGTAAATTAAAGAGTCAACCAATTCAGCTTGTTGTGACCTTGAATCGTCACACCCACAAACCAGAGAAAAACATAGTGTAAGCTACTTTTCTTGGATACCTTGTTCCTCAGCATATGTATATGTATTTTTGTTCTCCTCAGTAAAAGCAAGCAGAAAAGGGAAAAGAAATTGTTGTCAAAGAGCTGTTTTGTCATATCATACACACATACATTCAAGCTTAGGGCCTGACCCTGCAAGGAACCCCCCCAAAAAAACCAGCCTGTACATTTCTTTCACTTCCCTCAGGTATTCTGTGGAACAGCTTATGTTTCACAAGGGTACTGGAACATCTTCTCTTTCACAACGGTACTGTTTCCATCTCATTCTAGGGAAAATAAGATGCTGCTGCTGTGAACATTAATTGTTTTCTGTGTGCTTCAGACTTTGCAGGAGAAGGAACACACAAGCATTTGTTACTGCTCCTTCCTTCTCTGTCTACCTGACATTTTGGAGAGGGGCTCCTGAACTCATTCCTTCTCTGTTTTATACAATATCACATGACTTTTATTTTGAGGAAATTTTTTTATTATGTCTTTTCCAGAGTATCACGTGGACATCCGATATTTAGTTATCCGCACTGAGAATGGTAAAAATAGTTCTTCGTGCTGCTGTGTATTTTATTTGCCCAAAGGCACTAGGTTACTCAGTTACTGCTGCATCCATAAAATTCCATTGTGAAATTTTGATAAACTTGCTGAGGAATTTATATTTATAAGCACAATATCATGGATTTTATAAAATTAACTTCAAGAATGAAAAAATGAAGTTGGTGACAAACTGGATTTGTGTTCCCTTTTGCATCTTTGTATCAAAAGACCTCAAAAGGCATTTTTCTTTAATCCAGTGAATTGTTCTCCTTTTTATTGCTTATTCATATAGCAATCAGGAGTGTCATGAGCTGTGTTCCTACTTCTGCTGTGCTTCTCTTTTTGAAGACACAAATGTCTATTTGTATTTCATTTGAAAGAAAGAATCTACAGAAGGAGTTAAAGTTGCTACTGTTAACACTTACATTCTGACCATTTTTCAGGTGTTTGGATAAGAAATTAAAAGACTCTTAACACAAGTTTCTAATTGGAGCTTTAAAGTATACACATGATTAGATGAATCAACCTTAATTTGCTAGACATTTGTGATACTATAATCTTACTAGTGTAAGACCACCAGTAGTCTTACCAGTCACATACCTCTTTCCAAGAAAACAGTAAAGGGAGCTATTTGCGAGCAGGGAGACAGAAGACAGGTAAAGGTTTTTCATTTTTTAGATACAAATCAGTAAAGACAAAAAAGTCTTTATCACATCACAGTCTTATTTCCTCTTTCTTATCATAAAGCAGCAGTGAGTCAGATTAAAGATCTACGTAGTTCACCTAGTCTATGTCTGAGAGGGACCAAAAGCAGATGCCTAGGCAAGACTATAAGAAGCAAGAATTTATGATACTTTTCCCTAATACTCTCCTAGCCTCATCTTAGAGAATCTTCTACTTGACCTCAGCAAAATTGTTGAAAGTGGTATTACTGCCTATCCTGTGAAAAATACAAACCTAAGACTTTGCTCAATATTTTTCTCAAAACACTGGCAGAAGAGGGAATACTTGCTTAGGAAATATACTGCTTTTGGTCCCTTAGTCATAGCAAGGGCTGGCTGGCTTCAGCTTACAGATAAACCCGGTTTCAAACTCTTTCGTTTGGGATGGATCAGGCCAAGAATTATTTCTTCATGCTGACTATCAGACCTCCTCCTGGCAGCGCAGCAGGCTCCTCTGCTGTGCTGCCATCAGTTAATACATTATGGTTGTACATTCCTGTTCTGAAGAGAGTTAATGCAAGGGAGTTAATGCTTATCCACGACCCAGCATTAACATCCACTGCTGTTTCCCACAGAGTTTAACCTCCTGCT